CCCACTGCCTGGGGTGTGGACAAAGCAGCAGACCCTCTAGGCCAATGGGGGTCACTCCCTGGGGAAGGTGGGACAAGACTGAAGGAAACTCTCCTTTAAGTGCCCCCAGAAGCAGACCCACCGTCCTCATTGCTGGAGTACTGTGTGAAGGAGAAGTGGGGTATCTTGTGTCTGCCGTGGTTCTTATGATTCTGCTACATTCAGCCCAACCTATATCCTAAATGATGCCCTAGGTGAAAGGACCGACGAGCGACATTAAACATTTGGCCTACCGGAAACTGAGAATCTGGTGACCATCTGCAGCCGCGTGACACCCTTCCGCGGGGCTCAGCCAGCCGTGGCTGTAGGAGGGCTACACTCGGCTCCATCTCAGGTTCATTTAGCAAAAGAGGAACTGGAAACTGAGATACTCCTGGGAGAGTACTTCGTTGAATACAGAGTCACGGCTGAGCAGATGAGAAATGCGGCCGACGGGGAGTTGCAGTGAGATGGACGGCGTGTGCGGGACGGAGAGCACGAGGTGGGCAGCTACCTCGGGGCGGCGGCCTCATCGCAGGGCATTAGGCCTGCCCCAGGCTTACGACAGTGTAGCTCATGTGCACCGATGAGTCCAGCCCCTTCAAGTCCCCGTGTACAAAACCACGCCCACCTTCCTTTTGAAGACCTGGTTTGGAGGGACTGAATAAACAAGAATTTAATGACAGAAAAGTCCCTCAGGGAGGGCTCACCTTGGAGAAACCAGGAGTGATTTACTTTGGCTAATCAGCAGCTGACAGAACTGCCGAAACTTGTGAAAGTGATAATGAAAGGAAGGGAAAGGAAACTGTCAAATGTTTTGCTTCAGCAGCAGTTGATCCAAACTACCGTGGAGAAGGGAGACACCCAGCCGCATGGCCTCAAGAGGCACGTCCGTCAACCGCAGTCCTGGCCAAGTGCACTATGGTGACAGTTATGAATAGGCAAATAACAAAGGGTCACATCTAATGTCACCAAAAATTACATATACGGACATACTCACATACACATCCATGCTTGCGTACAAAAGGGGAAGTTGCTTCCATGAAGGAAAATTGGGGCACATGGGGAAGGGGGCGGAGGGGGTTCAGTGGCTGGGAGTCTTTTATCAAAACGATCGCTTGTACTGCTTGAGTTGCTGCCATGCACATATGACCTTTCCAAAATGCTTTCTTATTACAGACTGAAATCTTGTTACAAATTGAGAAAAGTTGACAGTTTATGCTTTTTCCTTTGTTTCCCATTTGTTTATAGGAAGAAATATGTTTTTGCTAATGAATCTTTATATTTGTATGTGTAGCACTTATTTGCAATTTCCCCCGGGAGTTCCTTATCACCCACTGCCAGGCCTGAGTGTAGGCTTCCTTACTGGAGGTTCATGAAGAAAGCGTGACCCAAAGGCAACAGACAAAATGATTTTCCATTTTCTAGCCCTTTAAAATTTTCAAAACGATTCTGCCTGCCTACGTGCTCTTCACCACAGTCCCGTAATATATGCAGAACTGTTATTTTGCAGATATAGAAGTGGGCCTGCAAAGGCTACGCCGCCTGCTCGACACCGCACAGCTACTGGACTTCAATCCAGGTCTGTGATTCCAAGTTGCTCATTTGAACATTTCCTGTGCACTTGACAATGGATACACGACAATCGGGCTGTGAGAATAAAGCCTTTGGGCGTTAAGCCTTGAGTTTTGAAATGTGTTAAAAGACAAATATTTACACCAACCCTATATATTTAGAAAGTACTGTCACGTGTGCTAGTTCAATCTTCTGTCTCCAAAAAAAGGCTCGCTCCACAGTGGAATGTTACAGGAGCTGACACTTTTCAATGCCTATTTTCAAACATGGTGGCACTTTAATACATGCTAACCTTTTAAGAAGCGTCTCTGTGCTCACACCATTTTACAGAAGCACCCCAACGTAATCCTGTTGTGTATGCTGAGAGATTTTGTTCAGGTTACCCCGTTGCTGCTTTATTTGGTTCCCCCCCTCTCTTCCATGCACCACCCAACTTCTAGGGAACCTCTATCAACAACCCAGCGTGTATCCTGATTTTTTTCTGTGCTCATGTAATTTTATGTAAACACACACATTTACATTTAGCAACTGTCTTACATTTATATAAAAATGGCACGTTATACACGCAGTATATTCTTATCTTGCACAGTTCCATGTAGAAGTCCCCCGTGTCACTCACAGGGCTCTAATTCATTTCTTTAGATGGCTGCCAAATGGAGACACACAGCAGCCCTCAGGTGCCCAGTTCAGAGGGAGAGGCTTTTGGGCTAGCTGGGCACCAGGCCCCGAACTCCTCTCCAACTGGAAGCCGAAGGTCAGACACTGGGGGTGCTGAGGCAGCAGGGGCCCCACACTGGTGGCAGGACCAGGAGTCCTCACAGCCCGGTGCTGCCTCGCTGCCAGCTGTGAGGAGCCCCTGGGGTTCATGAGAGGCGGGCGCTGCCCAGGGCGAGCCTTCCCACACGCCGGGGCGAGGGCACCTGAGCACAGCCCCCTAAGGGGGTGCCCTGCTGGCAGAGCACGTGGAGCCGGCCTACCGATCAGCGCAGGAGCGGCAGCCGCACCACCCGCTACAGGCGCTGCCGCACAGCTCACTTCGCTGGGTGCAGACGCACAAAGGCGCGGCCTGCAGAGCTGGAGGCGTGTCCTGTCTGGCCTGCAGAGAAAGTCTTCTGGCCTCTACCCCTCAGCCTCTCCCCACAAACATCTTGTCGTTAAACATCAGGGGTAATTTATGATTTTTAGTTTTTATCTTTCTAAATGATAAGATTAGACAGAATTTAGCCTATCATTTGCAAACATTATCTCCAAATAACATATTGCAGGAATGAGTAATTTTTGATGTAAATGCCACACTGAATTCCTAATTACTCCATTTAGCATTGCTTTTCAGACGACAGCAGTGTTTCTGAGGCCGTACACGGTATTTCGTCAGATGCATACCAATAGCGGAACCCTCAGAGATCTTGCAGAGATAAAGTTACAGAATTTGGGTTTCCTTCTCTGCTCCTAACTTGATGTTGCAACATCAGCATTCCCTATGCTTCTTGTCTTTATCCAAATTCACATTTTGAAAATAAATTAAGTATAGTAGAATAAAAACGATTTCAACTGTTTAAAATTAAAGCTACCTTTCCTCACTACTCCGTGCAGCGGAGTATCTAGTTCCCAGTCCGAGAAGCGCGCCTCTCCCCTCACCGGCCGTCGCACAATCACCAGGCACGCACTTGGAAGCTTGCCGGCACCTTTACTTGAAGAGGAGAGATGAAATACTTGCTAATTTTTAAAAAAAGAGAATTGGAACCAAATACCATTTCTGCCTTTACAATGTGAACCCCAAATGCCTTTGTAAACAACAGCTGGATAACGCTGAGCATGAGCAGATGCAATCACTGCCCTTGAAGAACCCCCAGCCTGGCAGGGAGGAGGGAGCGTGTGGCGCAGGAACTGGTAACTGACCCCCAAGGTGTACAACCGCTGGTGGGAGCTTGGAGGACAGGCCGAGGAGGGCCTGGGACGACGGGTCGGGGAACTGACGGGAAGGCAGGCGAGTGGAGGGGCCCCGCCTTCCCCGTGCTGCCCCAGGGCCTGCGGGAGATGTCACCGCCTGGACCCCTGCAGCCTGCTCACCTGGTGGCGCACTTCTGTGCCTTGTTCGTCCCCCTCCGCCAACTGGTCAAGTCCTTTAAGGCAGGAACTGCGCTGTCATCTTATCTACAGCGCCTGCCTGCTGGCAGCCGATGCACAGGAGCATCGGGGAAGCGGACACGTGCAGATCCCTAGCGTAAGGAAAATCCTCCTCTGTGAGACGGGCTGATGTTAAAGATGATATTTTCTGTCTATTCCATGATGGAGTAAGAAA